GTCTCTCCCACATAAAACTCGGACAAATTATCCTAAGTAAACATAGTGCGGTGTAGTGGCGGCGTAAGGTAATAAAAGCGACTAAAATCAACTAATCTATCTCTCAACGTAAGTGGCGAATACATCACTCACCGTCGATTTGCCGACGATATATTAAAGTCACTATGCGGCATCACTCTTCTTTCTTCAGACCATAAATAACTGGCCGCAAATATGTCATCCTATGGCCTATTTCTTAGATGAACGTGTATATTAAATAAAGGTGTACATATCGGTAGTCATTAAGATTAATAAGCTTGCTGATGTTATCGATTTTCCATCCACTCATACAATACAGCCTGTCAAGAGTCCACTGCTCATCATAGGCCTCCTTAAAATATGTCCCCTATAAAGTTTTTTTTTTTTTTTTTTTTTTTTATAGAATAGGGGGCAAACGAGCATGCGGCTCACCTGATGTTAAGTGACTACCGCCGCCCATGAACAACCGCAACACCAGGGGAATTGCAGATGCGTTGCCGGCCTTTTAGAAAGGTGTAAGCTCTTTTCTTGAAGGTTCCTAAGTCGTATCCTAAGTAATCTATAATGTTCAACTGTGGACTTTGAAAGGCTGTAATGACAACGATAAAACACTTCAGAGCGTCAACATACCAACCTTGACTGACCTCTCGAGATCCGACTAACTTTCAACGGAATCAGAAGCTTTCAGAGACTAGTCCAAACTCCAAAAATATATAGTAACAAAATAAATGGTATACAAAATGATGTCTTATATTTACGCGAATCACAACACATTAAATAAAACCACTTTTATGAATTCTATCGCGTGGAATTATATTTTTAAATTCCCGACGATTCGGGTGCTTTACAGCACCAAGGTCACGGCTGACTTAGGAAACCCAGGGGACTGAGAATTAAGAAATACTGCGAGAAACTGAACCCAGACGTTAATTCGACAATACCTGCGTGTGCTAAACCATCGAAGTTATATGGGTTACCAAAAATACACAAACCGAATGCTCCATAATGTCCAATAGTGATTGAGATCGATTCGCCAACTTACAGATTGGCTCAACACTTAGCAAAAATACTATCACCACTCAGAGGACACACAAAAGCGCACAATAAGGATTCATGCTATTTTGTCAGTGAGATAAAAAACCTATGTCTTACTGACAATGAAACCGTGGTCAGTTTTGATGTTCAGTCTCTATTAACATGCCTACCTGTTAAAGGCTGCATCTCAATTGTAATTAGGAAACTAGAGAAAAACAACATGCCAACAGAATATGCGGTATTACTCAGATATTGCCTTACATCTGGCTATCTATTGTAGAAGGAAGAGTTTTACAAGCAAGTATATGGTGTTGCGATGGGCTCATCGGTATCTCTCATTGTCACCGATATATTCATGGAGGACTTTGAGGAGAAATCTCTGCTTACTGCACCTGTAAATCTAAGGTTCTACAAGCGGTGCGTAGACGATACTTTCACAATTTTACCATCATACAATGTAACTGCATTTTCAGAATATCTTAATTCCATAAACTCTAAAAATTCAATTTACTATGGAGTAAGAGGTAAATAATTCTTTAGCTTTCCTATATGTGTTAGTCATCCGAAATCCTAAAAACACCAAGTTCACAATGTGTATAGAAGAGAGACCCATACGAACCGATATTTAAACGGTGAATCTTATCATCATCCTACACAGTTAGCTACCGTGAGCAAACACCTAGCCGCCGAGTTTCTGCACGACAATTAGCTTCGGGGAAGCCGGCCACAATCGAGCGTCTGCCTGCTGTATATGTCAGAGGTGTCATAGACAAGATTGGCTACATCTTAAAGCGAGATGATATTAGAAAAGTAGCTGTTCCCCGCGACTTCGCCCGCGTGATATTTGGGGTTTTAATTTTTTTGCGCGGAACTCTAATTTTTTTTCTAAAATAAACATAGCCTTAGTTACTCCTTGTGACATCAGCTATCTGTCAGTGAAAATCCCGTCAAAGTCGGTCCAGCCGTTTCGGAGATTAGCCGAAACAAACAGACAGACAGGCGGACTAACAGACAGAAAGACAGACAAAAACTTTTAAAATTGTATTTTTGTTATTAGTATCGTATATACTTTCATATGTATTTAGTAAAAAGCTGTAATTTTGACATTACAAACAAACACTTTTATATATATATAAACACTTTGTATGTGTAGATTTTTCAAGCTAGTTATGGTTACACCAGCACCACCCATAATACAGATAAAACGTCCATCAGCATAAATACACAAATGCTGAGTATGTAGTAATTTAAGTAGACTGTAAGCTTAGGATTAGGAATTGTAAAAGACAATTAGCAGAATAAATTCACATCTCTCTCTGTGAACACGTAGTTTTTATTTAGTTTTAAGTCTTAGTTTGTATTTAGTTTTAAAAAAGCTCACGGCAGCTCCCGCAACTTGACTGGCGCAGCCGGTAGGATCACCGGAAAAGCTGTGCCACCGTTCGTAAATATCGCGTATATAATTTTACTCATTTATTCGCGTATCGGCGGACGATCCATACAGCGTGGTGATCCAGCGAACCAAAACAAATTCGTCGAGAATAAGGAGCCGTGAAGCTGATGATGGGCACTGCGGGCTGGTGAGTACGACTCTTCACCTCCTTCATATCCCTTAGTAAACTTGGAATTAGACATTTTCCATTTTGACTGTTATTTGGGTTTCAAATACTAATCTTACGTAAATTTTATAAAGTATTAAGTGTAATAAATATTACTTAAATAAAAATTAAAATAATATTAATTTAATTGTTATACGTACATAATAATAAGCCCCATATCACTCATAAAGTTATAGAGTATATTATATTAAGTATTATACATTATATTAAGTTCTTATTGTGTCTACATGTGTTTGTTAACTTAAAGATTACTCGACACGTTAATATATAATAGATTATTACTTATACTCGAATTTTCCTTACAACATTTGTGGAACTGGTAGGGTTATAATAAATATTTTATATTATTTTTTTATTTTTGTGTTGAACCAGTGAATAAATTATTAAAAATGTCGGAAATCAAACTTATCCCTAACGAATTAACTAAAATAATACCAACATTTAGCGGCAATAAGCGCCATTTAAATTTATTTTTGCGTAAATGTGAATATATAATAAGTAACTTTAAATCATCCGATGTGCAAAATGAATATATAATGCAAATCATTACTAGTCGTCTTACGGGCGAGGCTGCGTCGCTTATCAGTGAACGGGAAGATATAGAGACGTAGGCCGAATTCGAGGAATTGTTTTTAATTCACTTCGGCGACCCACGTAGCGAGGAATGTTTAGCCATAGAATTAGAAACTTTAAAGAAACACCAAAATGAAAATTATACAGATTTTTGTGGTCGTATACAATCCGTTAAATCAGTGCTATTATCGAAGGTTAATCAAATTGGTGATAAAAACTTAAAAATAATTAAAACTATTATTTACAATAACACCGCTCTGCAGGTTTTCTTATACAATTTATCCGGAAATATGGTGCGCATTGTTAGGTTGAAAACACCCAGTACACTAGAAGAAGCACTAAGTATAGTTCTAGAAGAAGTAAACTTCTATGACCAATATCAGATGCGTAGTAAAATGTTACAGTCTAGCCATACGTCTAAGCCACAGTCTAGTAGTACACTAGTGCAACAACCATCGTTTAAGTTCGCAATGCCAACACAGCCTACAGGTTTTAGACCAATGTTAGCACAAAACCAACCCCCTAGGCAGAATTTCGGAACACCACCTCAATTTAAGTTTGGCATTCCCAATAGTAGACAAATGAAGATTCCGTTACCACAAAATAAGCCTCAACAGCAAATGAGTTTCCCTAAGCAATATCACCCACCTCAGTTTGGATACCGACCTAATTTTGGATACCGACCAAACTTTGGATTTAGACCCCCGGGTTATAGCCCCATGCAACCAATGTTACCACAACAGTTTGGTAACTCTCAGCGTTTTAATTATCCTAATAATAATAATAATGTGCATAATAAGCCGGTTTCTAATGATACTGATGTTTCTATGAGAACTGCCCCTCCAAAGCCTTTTCAACCAGGTTTCCGCCTAAACGAATTAGAAATTTATCCATCATACTATCCCTACGAATTTCCTCAAAATTACATGTATGAGGAACCATACGAAAATTATTATGAAGATGAATCCATACAAGAAAATTCTCTAATAGAGGCCGAAGAAAACAATGATTCAGAGGATAATGACATATCGGCACATACTGAAAATTTTCAAGTAAAAGCCTCCGAAAACCACCCGAAATAATAGAATTGAATTGCGACATAAATTTTAAACTACCATACATATATATACCGGAAATAGATGCTAACTTTATGATAGACACAGGAAGCACCCGTTCTTTTATAAGCCCCGATAAAGCACATCAATACTACCGTAACTATATAACGAATGAACCCTTTAAGGTTTTAAGCACTCACGCATCTAGTGAACACAATCAGGTAATTAAAATTCCATTATTTTCTATATTTCAAAGTAATGACGAACATAAATTTTATCTTTATAATGTCGATTCACGTTATGATGGGTTAGTTGGGAATGATTTAAACAAGTACTTACTACAAATTCTTCTAGAATACCGATAATACACAATAGCTTAGAACATGTAGTAATACTTCCACCTCGTTCTGAAGTCAGAGCAAACTTACCTGCTAACATGTTTTATGGCGAAGGAATATTAAATTATACCCGATTCTGTGACGGAGTGCGCACGCCTTCTGCATTGGTAAAATGTGAGAAGGGCTATGCCACTACAATTATACAAAATACGTTAGATCAACAAATGGAACTATCTATTAAGAAACCTTTTGAAATTTATGAATGTGTGGATGATAAATCGTATGTAAATTCTATAGATCACTCTGATCTAGAAACGGACCAGTTATTGCTTGAAAATTTAAACAAGTTACGACTAAACCATATGAATGAAGAGGAAAGACATAACATTCGTAAACTATGTGAGGAATACAAGGATATATTTTATTGTGAACGGATAACTTTGAGTTTTAGTAATCAGGTTAAACACTTCATTCGGACTAAAAACGAGGACCCTATATTCACAAAACCTTACAGACTAGCCCCCGTCCAAGTAACAGAGATAAACAAGCAGGTCGATAAACTTCTATTAGATAATGTAATTCAGGAATCTTTCTCCCCATGGAATTCTCCCGTACATCTTGTTCCAAAAAAGGCTGATGCTTCGGGCGAAGTTAAATACAGAATGGTCATAGATTACAGAAGGCTAAATGAAATTACAATTTATGATAAGTACCCCCTTCCAAATATCGCAGACCTTTTCGATAAACTAGGTAAGAGCACTTACTTTTCGACACTCGACCTGGCCAGCGGCTATCACCAAATTGAACTTAATGAAGATGACCGACAGAAAACTGCCTTCAGCACCCAAAATGGACACTATGAGTTCCTGAGGATGCCATTTGGATTAAAGACAGCCCCCGCCACCTTTCAAAGGGCTATGAATAACGTCTTAAGAGGGTTGCAAGGAATCCATTGCCTTGTGTACCTTGACGACGTTATTATCTTTTCCGCTAGTCTACAAGAACACATGGAGAAACTCCGTACAGTTTTTGACCGACTTAGAAAGACTAACATGAAAATACAATTAGACAAATCTGAATTTTTCCGAAAAGAAGTTTTATATCTTGGACACACCATAACTAAAGACGGACTGCGACCAAACGACGACAAAATTAAGGTAATACAGAATTATCCCCTTCCTAAGACAACCACCGAAATCAAAAGTTTCCTTGGGCTGGTTGGATATTATAGAAAATTTATAAAGGACTTTGCGAAAATCACACAGCCCCTAACATCGTGTTTAAAGAAAAGGAATAAGATAAATATAGACCAAAATTATATAGATGCTTTTCATAAATGTAAAGAAATATTGACCAGTGTCCCACTACTACAATACCCTGATTCGACTAAACCGTATATATTAACTACCGACGCTTCGAATGTAGCTCTTGGTGCAGTATTATCACAAGGACCAATAGGGTCAGATAAGCCTATTGCATATGCCAGCCGCACACTTAGTGACACCGAGTCACGATACAGCACAATAGAGCGCGAACTTTTAGCCATCATTTGGGCTGTAAAGCATTTTAGGCCCTATTTGTATGGACAAAAATTTCAAATTTATACAGACCATAGACCCCTTGCTTGGCTCTATTCCCTTAAGGAGCCTAACAGCAAACTAACACGCTGGCGTTTGCGTCTTCAAGAATACGATTTTACAATCATCTATAAAAACGGCAAACAAAATACCAATGCTGATGCCTTGTCTCGCATAAAACTTAATGCTTTAGACGACGCATCAATGGATGTTAATGTAGATGACGATGACATACAAAAAGTAATACGTCAACTGAAAGAACTTGAAAAATACAGACCTAAACCTCAACCAGAGACAGTGATAATTTCAGACTCAGACTCGAGTGTAACGGATCATATAGAATTGTTCGAAGAAAACTACCCTGTACCATCTGTAACTAACAGTAGTAGCACAGACATGATACATTCAAATGTTGAACCCGAGTCAACAGCAATCCCAATTTTGAGCGAGGCAATAGATACCAAACCAAATCAGATCCTAGTATTTTCTTAATTCCAAAATAAACTACAAGTCAGAAATTTATCTAGAAAAAAACAAAAAGTACTAGAGGTATTTCTCCCACTAGAAAACGAAGAATTAATAAAACAATTTTTAAAGGAATATATAAAATTTAAGAGTCGATACTTTATTTATTTCGAGAACGCTGAGCATAGGAAATTATTTGCAAAAGTTATTATAGAACTCTTTAAGAAGGATGCAGTACAATTCTTTGAATGTACACATCGCGTAGTATATGTGGAGGATGAAAAAGAACAAAAAGCTGTCATTTTCAAACACCATGAAGGAAAAACATGTCATCGCGGTGTGAAAGAAACTATGATAAGATTACGCAGAAACTATTATTGGCAAAATATGCAAGACACTGTATCTGCCGTTATAAATGCTTGTGAACCGTGCAAACTAATGAAGTACGATAGGAAACCAATAAAACCTATACTACAACTCACATCAACTCAGGATGCGCCTTTTCAGGAACTATTTATAGATTTATTTACTATTGAGAAGAAGTATTATTTAACCGTTGTGGATGCTTTTAGCAAATTAGGGCAGACCTTAGAGATTGCAAGTCGACAAACCACTGAAGTAGTAGTAGTAGTAGTAGTATATACTTTATTGTACACCACACATATACAACGAATAAATACATTACAGAGAAAACTTAATATATACGTATGTACAATAAGGCGGTCTTATCGCTAAAGAGCGATCTCTTCCAGACAACCTTTGGGCTAAAGAGAAACTGGAATTAAGAACACTAGGAGGTGGTGCGCTTTATGTTACACTTACATACTAATATCTAAATAAACTAAACTATATTTTGTTAAAATACCACAATAATACATAAAAAATAATAATAAAATAAACATACATATTAATAAATAGGTATATATTTATATACATATATATATATATATATAAATATACACATACATATATATACAAAGATAATAAATATTCCTAGAATTGGTTATCAATAACCACAAAGTGTTAGGTAATGCTTCTTGACGTCACTTTTGAATCTTTTCAAAGTTTGAGCACGTTGAATTTGGAGTGGAAGTTCATTCCATAACCTTATGGCTTGGCTCGTAAAAGAATATTTCATAAATTTTGTTCGAAATGAACATGGTTCTAGAATTAGTTCGCCGGCTGACCGAAGAACTCTATCAGGTCGATCATGACCAAGAAACTTAAAGTTTTCCTTCAAGTAGCTTGGAGTCAAAGGATTGAACAACACACAGTACAAAAGAGATACAGTTTGCAGATTCCGGCGAAAGCGAATGGGTAACCACTTGAGCTGTAAACGATATTCGGATACATGATCATATTTACGTAAACCAAATATGAACCTAATAGCAATATTTTGAATTCGCTCAAGTTTGTTCAGTTGGTCTTCAGTTAAATCGAGATAACTTGCGTCCGCATAATCGAGAATAGAGAGAAGTAAGGATTGTGCTAACATAATCTTAGTGGGAATGGGGAGAAAAGAACGTAAACGACGAAGTAAACCCATAGTAGCAAACACCTTTTTGCTCACTTGTTTTAACTGCTGCGACCACGACAAGGTAGAATCTAGATATATTCCCAGATTTTTTACAGATTTACTGTAGGGTATGACAACGTCATTTAGTGTCACCGAGGGTAGGTTGTTCCAGTCAACTCTGGAGACCATCCCTCCACCACCAATAACTATAGCCTGGGACTTGAACGGATTAATTTTTAGACCATAACGCTGACTCCACTGGTTTATCGCCGCTAGGTCATTGTTGATGGTGGCAACAGCAGAAGGCAGATTTAACAGAGTTGACTGAGTGTAGATTTGGAGATCGTCTGCATACATGTGATAGAGAGAAGTAATATTTTGAGAGATAGAATTAATGAATATAGCAAAAAGTAAAGGAGACAGCACACCACCCTGAGGCACTCCAGCCCGTAATTCGCACCAAGATGAGAAATCATCTTCGATGCGAACACGCTGCCGTCGGCCGTAAAGATAACTATGAAACCAGCCAATCACCAGAGGAGATATGTTAATAGAACGTAACACACTCAATAAGATGTCAAAATCAACAGTGTTAAACGCATTGCTAAAATCAAGCAATACTAACACAGTGAGCTGTTTGTTATCCATACCTTGTCGAATGTCATCAGTAACTTTAACCAACGCTGTTGTCGTACTATGAACCGATCGGAAACCAGATTGGAGAGGATCCAGGATACAATTTCTATTTAGGTAGAGATTTAACTGAAAGAAAACTAGTTTCTCCAGGAGTTTGGATAAAAACGGGAGAATTGAGATAGGACGGAAGTCAGAAAAATGCAAAGCATGGGGTTTTTTTGGGAGAGGCGTTACAAGTGCACTTTTCCAAACATCAGGAAATTTTGAAGAGGAGATGGATTCATTCAAGATATGGGTAAGGATAGGAGTAACAAATTCTAGGATAGGTAAGATCATGTTACGACTAACATTGTCATCACCCACGGCATTAGACGAGATGGACAAAATGTTCTTTTTAACATCACTATCAGTGAAAGGAGAGAAATTAAACGCTAGAAAATCAGGAGTTGGTATTGAAGAAAGAATACTCAGAGTCCGATCTTTATCTGAGCTATCTAATGTGCTAGAACAGGTGAAGTATTTGTTAAGGAATTCAACATCAACATTATGATGAGGAGAATTATTGGATGTTTTACCAACTCCAAGTGACTGAAGAAACTTCCAAACTTTGGCTGCGTCGCCGTTTTCGACGTATTTATGAATATGGCGTCTTTGTGCATCCCTACACAATGTATTGCAGCGATTCCGTACTTTATTATAAATTCGTAAGTTTTTCTCAGATTTATCAGCTTTTAACTTACTTTTAGCAAATCCTTTTTTTATAATAAGTTTTTTTAGACTATCAGTTAACCAAGGTGCAGGTAAATGTTTCATTTTTATTGATTTTACTGGGGCATGGATGTCATAAAGTTGGATAAGAAAGGAGTTAAATAACTCGACTTTCAAGTCGACTGTTGAAGCATTTTCAACAGCTGACCAGTCCATGCGACGAGCATCTTCCAGAAGACGTTCTTTGTCCATTCCACCAAAATTACGTTGCAGAAGAATTCTCGATTTTGCTTTAGGAGGACGAACTTTGTATGCAAGAAACAAGAGATCATGATGAGAGAAAAGATCAGCGTCATGCTGGCCATGCTTCAGGACAAAATCTGGAGAGGATACAATAATTAAGTCAAGTAGTGATGGAGTACAGTCAGGCATTTTATGCGTAGCAGATAGTGGTAATATATGTAGATTACATGCCTCGGTTAATGATTTTAGCTTTTCACACCGATACTCACCCTTGAGTAGGCATGTGTTAAAGTCACCCATGATTATAGTGTGAGTATATAATGGGATTAAATTTTCTAATAAAAATTCGAAAGAAGAGAAATAGTCAATATGAAGAGAAGGACTGTAACAAACGCCAAGAAGAATTTTCGTATTGGATAGGGTTACTTCAATGAAGAGATGCTCAGCCGCATTAGAAGGAGATGGTTGGGGGGACAAACTTACTACCGCAAAAGGTAAATAAGAACGGAGATAGATTGCCACACCACCACCCCCCCCTTCCAATACGGTCGTTGCGAATAAGATGGAATCCTGGTAATGAATAAGAAGTGGATGGCAAGCATGGTTTCAACCAAGATTCAGAGACTAGAATGGCGTGAACGTTATGGGATTCAAGGGACGCAAGCATGTCGGGATAATGAGCCGGAATGCTTTGGGCATTTATATGAATTACATTAAAGTTTTTCAGGGAATCTGAGAAATATGAATTAAGTGCTACATTTATCGGAATTGAAGATGTTGTACTGTGGAAGCTGTGTTCACTAGATGCATTATAATTTGACGATAAAGACAAGAAATCGTCAGAATCATTACCTACATCATAATTATCTAACAACATAGTAAAATAAAATAAAATAAAATATATAATATATATGATATATAAATATAAAACTAAATAGTTAAATTAAATATATAAGTAAGTACCTAAACAGATCTCTATCCCGCCAGCAGTCTGAAAGAGATGAAACAAAAATAATAATAATAATAATAGATGTTTCAGAATAACTGAAATAAAAAGAGACAATTTTTAAACAAAACAAAACTACCAAAAACTCTAAACAAATAGCATTTTACAAATAAAAATATGTAATAAGTACAAAGAGAATTGTTATAGAAATGTTGCTTTGTGATAAGAAAAGAGAAAAAAAACAAAAACATGAAATGTAGAAGGCAAAAATACCATAAGGTACGGCTGTATGACTATGAGACCTTTGCCCACGCCGAAGAAAGAAATCAAAATGTGCAACTGTTATCCAATGTCATGTCAATTCACTTATTGTTTGTTTACATTGAAATGCTTTTTTTTTTCTTTTCCTTCCCTCTCTCTTACTACCAACTACCTCACATCGAAAATATAAAAGAAAAATGGTGATATATATTAATAAAAATAAATTAATAATTTTTACAATAGAAGAATGTAAACAAACCAGAAATACGGTAGTCGCACGAGATACAACAGATTTAACCAGCTCAAAAAAAAGGATTCATTTTTTACCAATTCTCTTGGTTCTTACTTGAGCAGACCTGGAGTCTTTCACCACATTTGGAACCGAGGTTACAGCAGATGTGGCTTGAGTCACCGATTCAGAGGTAGAAATAGCATCAAGATCAAGCCTAGAATGGATACGATGGCGTACTTGATCAGATCCTAGTACGAAGATGATGCCATCCCTCGTCCAGCACCTTGAAACTCCAAAACGTTGGCGCGCCGCTTGGAATGTAGTATGTCGACCCTTTGTAAGAAATTCGGACAATGTAATCCCGGTGCCTTTCAAATTTTTCTTTGCAAGCCATATCTTCTCTTTTGTCCCATAGTCTCTAAATTCTACAAGCACAGCCCGGGGTTTATCAGTGCCAGGTTGACCAAGACGATGTGACCGACCTATTGAATCAGTGGTAATACCAGGGACTTTCAAGTGGTCAGATAGAATCTTGACAACACTAGAGGATGTGTTCTCTTTCTTGTCTTCGGCTATACCATGAACAAGCAGGATTTTTCTTCGAGATCTCATCTCCATGTTATCATTTTGTTGAGCTAATAGTTCAACTTGCAGTTGCAAATTTTCTAAAGCAGTTAAAACAAAGCACCGGAATGAATGAAATTGGTGATTAATATTTGAAGTGGGGCTTGTTGCTGGAATTGAACTCCTGAGATCTTTTTGGAACTCAGCCATCCTTAAATTGAAATGTTCAGTGAGGTCCGCAACAGTTTTCTTAAAGTAGTGCGAGCATTAATTAAATATTTTTCTATGTACGGAATTCTTAAGAAAATATCAGCTGATCCAGGCACTGAATTCAATAACGAACTTATGCGCCAGCTCCTATCTATGTATAAAATAGAAACTCATATCACAACTCCCAATAACCCCAATTCGACAGGCATTGTCGAAAGATTTCATTCCACTATAATTGAAATATACAGACTTGCAAAATATGAACATAAATGCACAGACGCTGCATCTGTCATGACATATT